ATCAGGCGTTCATTTTTTCAAAAAATGATCATTAGCAAAACAAAAAAACTATTTTAGTTATTCTACCACAATTCTATACGAGTAGCATTTTTAAAGGGGTATTAAGAAAGTAGAAAAATGCAATGAAATATAATGCAATTTAAAGGACACAATTATATGACTGAATTCAGCATTATAGCGACAAAAATGATTCTACCATCATCAAAGTTCCTAGAACCTATTAATGAAAATGTAATTACCCTGCCCTAATATTTAACAGACATTTAATTTATTTATAATTCTGTGTGTACAGATTACGTTTCTTGTGTAATTACATTAATTTAACGAATTAACAAAGTTTTGAAATTTCAGTAATAAACATTTTATTCGAGTTCCGGTAGCTCACGTCTTTTTAATTACTGTAATTGAGGACAGATGGGCTTACAGCGTTACCTACCCAGGGTAGAAATGCACGAGTGGATATTAAAAACATTCTAGGTCAAAGTGTTACTCAGGTTTTTTTATGAATATTGTGTATTAGTTCCGGGTAGGATAATTGTAGGCAATTTAAAATTTTCTGGAAATAAATTGTAACCGATAATCTCGCTGATAATATAGTTATTTTATGATGAAATAATTTTAAATTTATTAATTATAAATGTAAATAGTTTTTTTCTGGTTTATTATATTTTTTTAGACATTGTATACCTATATTCTATTTTTGATTAGATGGTATCTCCATTAAATAATATTGGTTAGTCATAATTCACAAGGCAAAATCACAGAACGCTTTTGTTCATTTGATTTCGAGAATTTCAGAACGCTTTTGCTTTTGGTCTATGGTTTAGCACACCGTCATACCGCGTTCCGATAGTTGCGGGTATGTTTTCTTGCATGGTATAAACATTCGTAGTATGATTGTTTGTGTACTTGTATATGTCTAGTTCTTTTGTATGTATATTATGTATTATATTTATTTACTTTATGCATATAAAGTGCAGCTCTATTAATTTAATTTGTATGTATAGGTATTTTTTGGTTTATATCGATTTTTAATATACCATATATAAGCCATACGTAAGCGATAAGGCCGTTTCTTATTAATCACATTTATGCAAAATGTTATTTTAATATTTTTTTTAGTGCGTAATATACAGTTCTTATTATTATTATACTAATACATAAATCTTGGACTAATACTACTTAATAGTAATTCAGCTTTGCTCAGCTACTGCAGATGCTGTTTTGTCAGAATCATTATCCTGGTGAAATAATTTATCACTGTGGGTAAAAGAGAAAATAATTATGACTATTTCAAATGAATTCAAGCTACCGTGTGTATTTCCATTCCCAATATATACACGTTACTAATGAGTTACCAAGATTGAGCTAAGGTTTTCTAGGCAACCTCGTTAATATAATACTATTCATTAAGTGAATAGAGGGCGATATATCTTTATTACAGTTACTACCGGATTCCAGGAGAACATTTAATCCTGTGGCGGTCATTTTATTAATTCCACAAAGGAGACAATAACAAATAAACCCTTTTGAAAGTAAAACAGATACTTAAAACATTTTAAAAGCGAAATATTTTTAAAAGGTTATAAATAATGCGTCGGAATACTCTGTTTATTAAAAGAATACTGGCAGCTGAGATCAAGCGTTCTAAATTTGAACGTTATGTATTATTTTAAAATATTCGTTTTAATTCAAATATCTGAAGTTCTTCCGTCAGATGTTATGATTTAGTTAAGTGTAAATTTATTAAAAAGGTACCATATCCCAGGAACATGGATTTAAAAATAATTGCAAAAAACTGATGCTTAAGAAAGCTATATGATAAACGTATTTCTTATCTCATTCTAAATTATGATGTTCTAGGGATGTTAAACAGTTATTTTATTATAATAATTACATTGTCGAACTTGTAACACTGAAAAAGACTGTGTATGAAATGCAACAATACAAAAAGTAGGGAGCATTGCTCGGAGAACAAAACACTGATTTCAGTTACAACTTTCTTGGGGGTAATAATATATAAAAACGAGATCAAAGATAAAAATCGAGATCAAAGATAACGGTCTGTAAGTCATTTATTTAGAAAAGTATATCTATGCATTGTACTTTGAGTTATCACTAAGTATGACCTCAACGTCAGAACATCGTGGTCTAGTGGTTTCTACTCTACTTCGACCAAAAAAGTCTTGGGTTCAAATAGAGCCGACAACCAAATAAAAAAAAAGTTTGTATGTATATTTGTTATAGTTTACGTATATTTATATAGTTTGTAAGTATGTTTCCAAATAGAGCTCACAAACAAATTAAAAGTGAAATATAAGAAAAAAGTTATCAAAATAATGGTGGACACGCGGCCAGCAACAGTGTTCTTTATCAATGATGATGGAATGGTTAAGATGATAAGGTGAGAAAATCTATTATATTTATAATGGAACATATTCGCAATAATCCCAAAAACTACTGAACGTATATATTGTTTACTTTTATGCGGTTTTCATCCATCAACAGAGTGATAGGGAAAGGTTTAGTGTAAATATGTTTAAATACCAGTGCAAACATGGGCGGGTCGCTAGTCAATATATATTTAAAATTTAAATGTTTCTTATATACCCGAGATTTATATTATTATCTATGATTGATTCTGTTATCCATGGTTATAATGCTGCGTAATGTACAATCTCTATCAATTTCTTATAAATGATAATAGAATAGTGCTCCCGCCTGCGCTATCGGTTTACGCTGGCAGGCAGGATGATGAGATTTTTTTATACTACTATGGTGGTAAACAAACATACGGCCCATCTGATGGTAAATTGCTACCGTAGCCTACGGACGCCTGAAACACCAGGGGGATCACAGGCGCGTTGCCGACCATATAAAAAACCTTAATATGGTTAATCAGAAGGGTTTCTTGAACAACCCCATTCTATAGTCTCATGAGAAAACCTCGGTAGGAAGTTTATTCCACAACCTAAGTGTACGCGGATGTGTGCGGTGTAAGGTCAGATCAGGTTAGTGCATCATGGTAAATTCACCATGAAATTAACACGCTTGTAAAAAAGAAGAAGAGGTGAACCTGCCATGGTACATTGTTAGCAATGGAGTTATTAGTCCACATTACTAACCATCCCCTTCACCCTTCTGTCTAATATTGTCTTGTTCCAGACTACTAGACAGAGGCTAAGACCAAAAAAGTAGAATGCAAACTTTAACAATTTTTTAAATGAATGTAGAAATTCAAAGCAAAAAATGTCAAATTCAATCATCAATTTGTCATTGATGATGATGTCTTCCTATTGTCCTTCATCAGGGTCTACAATAAACAACATTAAATGCTGAGCTGTTTCCTTTCAACATTGTATATTTTGAAACGCTAGTGGTGTATAACAATAAACAGTTTAAAAATAACTGTGTGGCCATAAACGTGTGAAGATTACATCGAATTACATCGAATAAAGATAAACATTGTATAAATTACATTCAATTTATACTAATGTTGTAAAATGTGTAACTTTGGAAGTTTATGTACCTACTACCTACGTATGTAATATTAATAACTCTGGACAAGCGCTGTAGTAATACATATCTCTCTATCTTGCCACGTCGTCCTATACACAAGTTGTCGCATCTGGGACAATTCTAGCTGAAACACATACGAGACATTAACATTTTTGGTTAATTATCAAAAAACGTTCCAGTTATTTCGAGAAGAAATGTAAATTCTTAGAACTCTGTAAATAATGCTATATCTTCTTATTTTAATGTTTCGCACATACAAATATGGTTAACAGGTTTTAACACGAATAATTTACTGGAGAGAGACTGGAGTAACAGCGAATGTCAATCAGTAAATAAATAAACTAATATTCCCTGTTAATCTAGTCAGATTGTGACCACCAGTCCATAATGAATAATTTTATGGAAAATAAAGGTAGCACCTTTATTTTCCATAAAATTATTCATGTTAAAACCCATATAACTACGAGTATATTAATAATGCTATATTTCTTAGTTAATAATAATAGTATATTATAATTAAATAAATAAATAATGCCTAAATAATTATTTTGGACAGTTCATAGAGCTTAATTTAGTAACTAAGCAGGTATTGTGCTATTAGAACTAGTCAATTGATGATATTTCCTTAAATACTTGTTTTACACAAAAAACCTGCAGACTTATACAAAAACAGGCATTTATTAATACAAGTTTCAATGTTCGTATCCCGAGTCAATGAAAACGGCGAAAAAATCCCCTTTTTTACTAGAAGTGCAGACTGTGGAATGTTTGTGGAATGTTTGAGTATTGTAGTCGTTATTATCTTATCTGTGCTTACTGTATCGTCCATGTCTACGTCTGCCTAATCTCTGTTACTTATATGTACCTACTTATGAAAGTTTATCACTTTCACTAAGGAAAACAAAGTAGAAGTCTGCAAATAAATTTAAACATTTTTGCTTTATACTTTGTATTGAAAAGTTATTTAGTTCCATTAATAGAATAACTGTCATAATCTTTTCCATTGTAATTAACCTTTTATTAAACATTATCAGTTTTTTAAAGGGTTCCCAATTGAATTTTATTTATTCGCGCGCGATTTATTCTGAAACTGAATTCGCGAGAGAGCGCGGGTCAACAGTGTCAATCCGACAGTCCGCTTATGAACACGACTCGAGCGAACACCGCACCAACTCTAGTGCGTAACTGTGCACTAACACCATATAAAAGGAAAACCCCTTTACTTTAGTTTAATTTAGTTTATAATCATAAATTATGTGTTGAATAAATTAGTATAGCTACTTTAGAATTTGTGGTAAAAGTTATAAAAAGTTACAATGTGAAGTTGTGTTGTATGTAACTGTGAAATTACTTCTTTTAAATATAAAATGTTGAATATAAAAATAAATTTAAAATATTTGTATTTCTAAGTGTGTATCTTTATGAATTTCTGATAATATAAATATAGTTTAGATAGTATATAACATTTAAAAGTTTGTGAACTTCCTTTACAAATTGTGCTAAAAGTGAACTTAAACTAATTTATGTTGCTGAATTCAAGTACTAAGCTGAAGTGAGGTAAGTGGAACTTTATAGTTTACATATAGCACATAAATAAATATTGTTATACTTACAATTTAATGCATTTGTAGATTCTATTAATGCTTGCAAAAAATATCGAAGATACTAAAATAAACTTTAAATTCTACTTTTTAAATATAATTTTAATTCAAATAAATATATTCATACATAAAGAATTTTAATAGGTAATATGCTCTAGTAGTATAACATTTAATATTAAATAAAATATTAATATCTAAGCGGTATCTTCAAATTACGTTTAAATAGAATTAATATATATATATAAAATAATTGTTGTGATTTATTTCTACGCATAAATTTATTTTTTTAATACTTTGCGTAAAAATCATACGGAATGTATTCGTTTGCGTTTATTAAAACATTATTAATATCTGATTCCCTGTTTATTTAGATTGTTTTCTATTTTTATTATATATTTTGTTGATTTGGTAATTTTTTCTACTGATTAATGAACAACTGCTCTATAGCGTGTCTGCATCTACAGATAATTACGACACAATATTTTATAGTAATTTTCGATGTCCCAAACAAATTTTTTTTTTGTGACAATTGCGCTATAACTTAACAAAAGTATAAGATTATATTAGAGGAAATGTTTAATATAGCAAAAACTGCTTGACAGATACTTAATTACTAAAATAATGACAAAAAGCAGAGGTAAAGAAATGTAATATCAAAAATAAATCGTCCGGGCTTTGCTCGGATGTCGTGAGGAATAGTAGGCATTTCTAATATTTTTACAAACAAATATTATTATTATTATTATTATAATCAGTTTACTCAGTACTATGTAATTTATTCAGCATCATAGTACAGAGTAAAAATATAGAAAAGTAAAAACTAATATTTCGGTATGAGCTGTAAAGGTCTCCACTCAGGTGGTTCCGCGGTGTGTCACTGCAGCTCTGATTTTCAGTGGAGCCACTCGAAAAAAAGTTTTAGCATTCGTGATAATGATATTAGTGACTTTAAATATATAAAAAGAAGAGTGAGTTAAATGGATTAATTATAAGTATGTGTAATCAATGGAAGAAACATGTATAAGGATAAAGAAAAAGTAAAATAAATAAAATGTTAAGAAATTTTAGGATTAGATTAGATAACATTCTGTAGTTAAAAGAGTTTTTAAAATAAATCTGTTTAGTATTTTGTGAGTTTATCTATTACAAACAAAAAAATCTAACATTTTAATTATTCTTAAGTCATATTAATACTAAGGTGAGAACTGTGACATGTTCCATCAAAAAGAGTGTCAAATATGTAGCACCAAAGGTATGAAGAAAATGCACGGCACTGGATGAGTTTCCTCTTTGTGAATGCAAGTTTAAAGCCTCTTGTAGCTTTATGTCGTATATTTGTGTGGCAATTTTGATAAGGGCTTCTTTTTAAGTTTTCTTCAAAGATTTCTGTTGTAGGCGAGAAAGAAGTTGTAATTATGTATCAAGTAAAAAATATGTAAAGATACATTAATTTTCAAATCTTGCTATCTATATATATACATAAAAATTAAATACAATTAATTTTTAATGTCTTTCTTTCTCTCTCAAAATTAGGAAATTCTATGGAAATGATAAATCTTACGAATATTATAAACGCGAAAGTTTGTGAGTATGGATGGATAGGTAGATGGATGGAAGTTTGTTGCTGTTTCACGCAAACATATTTTGATGAAACTGTACAGTAATAAGGCTTATACATCATAATAACACATAGACCATAATTTTAAAATTATAGCTTATGTGTTATTATGATGTTATGTAAATTGGGCGAAATATAATGATAAATGTCAAGTAAATTTAATACAGATGAAGTTGCGTGGATAAGGCAGTAAAATGGTATACGACTTCTATACTTGGCTCTATATACATAGTTACATACATTTTTACTGAGCTAAACTTTACAGTAAGACGTCTAGGTACCTAGGTATCACCGTGTCACTGATTTCAAACGCCAAGCAGCTTACTTTATAAGAAGAGTGAGATAATTGTCTCACATATTTCAGAATTTAAACAGATTGATTTCTCAATATGTGTTTTAGTTAAAGGGTAACAATAAGACAATGGAATTAAAGAGGCATGTTGCATGCAACTTCTTAATCCTTCGAAATGGTAATAGTAAACCACAAATTCTTTGTTTTTTTTTATTCAAATTACTTAAATGAACTTAATAAATTTAATAAACTTAAGATTATATATACTTGAGACTATATCTATGATGATAATTCAACCACGGGCATCACATCATAACGTGTTGTCCGTATATACATTTATGTATATAGGCGACAGTTACCATTACCATTAGGTGGTCCGTCAACTTATTGGCAAATTCAATTGTATAAAAAATACGAGTTGGGAATTTTTGTCCCTTTTCAAGACTATCAATTACGATTCTGTGAATGCCACGCAAAGTAATTTCAATATGAATGAGTCTTAATTTTACAAAAGCGATCCAGTATCTAGCTGATCTTTTTATTTACTGGTCTCAATTCGTCTATCAATCAACTCCAAATTTGATTTTACGATGATGATGAATAAAATTTATAAATAAAGGGTTTTTTTATAAATAGAGATTTATGTAAAACTTTACATCATAACAGGTAATATAGGTTTACTATTTCTACTGTTTATAACTACCATGAAAATCCGTCGTTACACAAATATAAACCTAACACAATTCATTCACATTAAAACGGAAGTTAAATCCTAAAATTTTAATTAAACCGCACACAGCGTTTATACTACCATTGCTGTGACAGTGTTAGTTTGTGTTTATCCACATACTTCAAGGATACTCTAAAGCTATCACTTGACTTACTTACATTGCCGTACAATTATCAGCAAATTAAAAAAAAATATACAATATTTTCTTTACCAGGAATGATACACATACAATTAAACACATACAAAAAACAAACACATAAAACAAACTTGCCATCACGACTGATATTCTAGATGGGATAGTCAGAGACTGTCGATTTTGTGGAGAACTCAACACTTGATCTACCACACATTTCGCTGGTTATATTTGAATTTAACATGGCAGGGAGCAAGTTGGCGTCTCCACGAATTATTTTGTTTATATCGTTTTTTTACGCGAAGTACTTTCTCCAGCGATGGAAAAACAATGTCAAAAATAAGTCTAAAATATAAATAGAAAAACAAAGTCGTTTTGGTGATAGCTACATTGAACTCATAACGTCATAATTCTTCATTAATTCATCAAGATGGTATACAGGGGGAACAACGTTAAAGTCTATCTAAGGTACATTACCAGCAATGTGCAAATTAATACTAAATACTAAGAGGAATTATTACTAAGAGGAATTACTCTTTAATTTTATTATTAAAGCCAGATACGTATTAATTAATTAATAATATTGACTAGTTGCTTATTAGATGGCATTTGACAAACCACACTCTCCCCCGGGATTAGATAGCAACGTAAACTAATTTTAATTAACTTTCAAACGTACACGACGCTATCCGCGCCGTCGTCAATGCTTTTATATTACACTTGAATATTTTAATATCTGCTATTTCTATATTGACTTACTAATTAAACCAACTTTGAATTTGCTACTTTACTTTGAATATTGATTAGTTAAAGTTATTCATACATATACAACACTTTACGCCCCATGTGCATATAGGTTTTTTTGTCATTCTTACCGCCTAGTTAGGCTGGTAACTTCAGTTGGGAAGAACAGATAAGACACTTAATTATATACAAAATAATATACAAATATTATATAAATTTACGTCATCATCCACGAAAACCGTCGGTATCATTTACTAAATTCATATTTATAAATAATACCTGATATCTTATGGTTTTTAATTAGTTCAAACCAAATAAGGATTCAAAGAAATTTAGCACCGCATAGGTATAATACTTAAAAAGGTATAAAACATAAAACTCGATGGAATTTTCAGTATTCCAAAAAGATGGTTCGGTACTAAAATTAGTAATGAATTATTCGTTTATATTTGTGCCAGAAATGAAAACGCGTTATCAATTCATTTAATCTTAATGAGTCATATCATGTTTCGTTATTCAAACATTTGCTTGATCTATTAATATATTATAACAACCATATTGTATAATCCTAACTAATATTATAAATGTGAAAGTAACTCTGTCTGTCTGACTCACTTTTGCCCCAAAACTACGGAACCGAATTAAATTAAATTTGGGACACAGATAGTCTAGACTCTGGAAAAGGATGCAGGCTTAATTTTTAATGCAAAAAACGGTTGTAAGGACATGTTTATTTTTTAGGCTGTTGGTTGATTAAATATAAATAAATATGACATTCAAAGTTTGTATAGAAATTCATTATTTTTGTAACCGGAACGATGAATCTTTTTTGTCTTTTTTTGGTTCGATTATTAAATATTTTTTCTTTATTTGACCAAAGTCACTACTTCACACGGATGAAATCTCGGGCATAGCTAGCCTGACATAATTGGCTACAATATTTTAGAGTTGCTAACTCTTAGTTCTCGATTTTAGGCAATTGAGTAGAGAGAAATTAATCACTATAATCACGTTTCGATGGCAACATGTAATAACGTGTAATAAATAACTTGACTTATTAAAAAGTCTGTGCTGGTACTTCAGTCTCGCCTACTTCTGCCGCCAACCTATATTTTGATTTAAGAGTAAGATAGAGTCACGAAATTATATTAAAAGCATGATATCTTAATTTGGTACAATTTTATATTTTATTTATTAAATAGAAATGCATGTACTTATACTATTACGGGCGTCACATAACGTGATGTCTGTAGTACTATTCATTTATTACCAACGGTTACCATTTACCATCAGGTAAGCCGTCAGATTTAGTCAATTTAAATGAAGTACTGAACGGTCTACTGGTCGCCGCGACCGTTAAGGTTGTCAACGATAATGAATAGGTAAAAGCAAGCTTCGCTGATAATAAAATTTATTTTTCAAATTTCTATCGTCTTTGT